TGCATATATAGGTTTATGAATTTGGGATTAGAATATTGCAGAAATTGCTCAAATGTCAGAACAGACTCACAAATTAGGTATGAATTCAAATCCTGGCTCTCTCACTTATCACATGACATATTAATTAACCTCTTTGGGACAGTATCCTCATGAAAAATGAAGAAAATAAACTTCCTTTCAGATTGTTTTAAAATCAGCTATATAAGCAAAATATCTCAGGTATAAAAAGTTTTCCACATATGTTTCTACTAATTTAATTAAAAATCTACATGCACTATCAAAGTATTTTCATTTCTTACTTAAATACTTTAAAAAATGTTTCTACTATGCATCTATCCAAGCTCTTATGTCTTCCACTTGGGAGATATCTCTGCATGAATCCTGTAAGTTAAATGTAGCAGTCGCTCTTCCTCACTTCAAAGGAAGTTAAAATATAACATGTATAAAGAAGTGCTGGACAAGGACAACAATGGGGAGGACTGAGCGTGGGCGTTGGGTGGGCAGGAGAGAGCAATGGGGAAAAAGGGGAGACAACTGTAATTGAACAATAAAAAAATTTTAACAAGATTTATAGACTTGCATAAATTGGAGGCACTTACAAGTTTACATATTCTATGAAATTCTTCTTTGATCATGTCCATTAATTAAAGTTTAATATTCTAAAATTCACTGCTTCTATTGTTAATTCTTCTGACTTTCCTATTAAAAAACTCATTGTTATGTAAATATAACTTGTAATATAATAATTTAATTATTTTCAACTTCCTAAAGAATAAACTTTTATTTGGACCTGAAATAGAAAACTGCCAAAAATCTAATTTTACATTATCTCTAGTCTAAGTCTTAGTGATTTTATAAAATGACGACAAGTCCTATAAGCCTGGTCAGGGTGACCATAGAATGTTTTGTCTATACTAAGACTCTCCTCAGATGAAAACAGAAACTATTAGACAGAAACTATTAGACAGAAACTATGAGACAACAGAGATATACCAGAATTGTTCTGGACATTTGTGATATGTGGTCCCATGCTTCTGGGTCTTAGGGCTAATGGTCCAACCATCATAAATATTTACCTGAACTTCTGGTTGAATCATACTCTCTGTGTAATAAAATTTTTCATATACTATGAAAAGTATTAAAGTATACTATATATAATTTTATATAGTAAATGTTAACTTACCTTAAAGTTTTTTTCATTATCTCACACTCAGCTAAGAATAAATTTCTCTCCTTTCTAAAGAATGATAATAAGGTGTCAGGCAAGTCTTCATTCTTTCTATTTCACCCAGCAGATCATTTTTAAGGTTCCCTCTTTAAGCCTCGGGGAGATCTCTGCCATCATACTGGCAATTTGCATACCTGTTTCTGCCACAGGCCATTGCTCTTCTCAATTTTAGCTTATGAACTGCTCTGCTTAGTCAAATATCATTACTTGTTCCATACTGCTTCAGGGTCACCATTCATTATTGGAGGATAATCCATAGTTTTACTAGCAATGCTAGTGAGGACATACTAAGATTCCCTTCTGTTTTAAAGAAATCAACTCTATTTAAAAGCGCAACTGTGTGTTTTGAGTTGTTTCTGTATTCATCCTGTTTGCCTCACAGATTAAACATAATTATTAATTCCAGAGGTCGGCCATGAAATCCAGCATCTACAGGCTTATGAATAGACACTCCTCTGCCTGAAAACTCTCCTGATATTTGGGTATACTGCATGCAAGTCAATTAAGCAGAAAGCTGAACACTTGTTAAAGGACAACAATTAAGAGAATTGAGGTCATGACACTACAGGCAACATTGATTGCTGTACATAGAACCACCGTACTGTAGCTTAACTTCTGACTCAGTAAAGTGTATGAGAATTTCTAGTTAATAAGCAACAAAAGGAAGCAAAAAATTGAAAATATTTAATTGGTATTTTTATGCATTTTATTTTGGCTTTAGACATTTTTTTGAGTCTTTTAAAAATAGGTATGTTAATGTCTGGCTTGGAAATAATAATAACATGCTATCAACAATTTTTCTGTTTATGAGTGGGACTTCAAAACTCACCTTCTACTGAACTGAAAATTTTAAGAAAAATTGTATAAATCATTGGTCCTTGAAAAAGACCATCAAACTTATGAAAACATTTTATGAGCAACATTACTACTATGTGGCTAGTTATGCATTTTATCCTCAAATAATAAACTAAGAATCACATAAAGAGAAGGGAAAATATATGTGTATGTACACAATGCTATTGGGTAGATTTTACAAATAAGAGAAAGATAAAATGTAGACATTCATTCCTAACTGGTATGTCTTGATTAACTGGAAATTCTGCCAGCATTTATGAAATTTTTCAAAGTGAATGCAATTTTAGGAGAAAGTAATGAACTGAAGCTAATATTCAAAATACAAAAGATCTTTTAATGTTTTTTTCAAAGACATTTATTTCTTCATACTGAGTGTAGTATGGAGCTAGTAAAGAGTACTTAGCTAAAGTTATTTAAGGGCTGTGAGTTCAGAAGTTACTCAGGTATATATTCCTAATTGGTATCATACTTTATGTGTCGAATTGTAACTTCTCAGCATGATACCTGATCTTCTAGCTGTGTTAACAAGTTTTAGAATTCTCACATTCTGACTTGGTTTTCTATGAACTGGCAACTTTAAACCAGCTTCCTGACCTCACTGCTGCTATAACACAATTGCTTTTTTTATCCAGAAGCTTTCCCTGTTCACCTCTGGGTCTGTTGTCTCCCATTCATGCAACATCTTTTTCCATCTTCATATACATTCATGGAACAATCTAGACATATTCTACAGCCTACACACAGTTAAAAAAAACTGCCTACAGGTTTTGTTCACACATTTGTCTCTTCTGTCGTGCACACAATGAACTCTTTTATCACTTCCTTCAAATTTCCTACCCTGTGTTTATAGTAATCTATTGTTTTTTCTAATGTTAGCATTGCTTTTCAATGTTTTAATCATTTTTCCTTTTTTTTCCTATACAAACTTGATCTTCTTTGTTTTTACTTTAAATTTCCTCTTATTTATGAACCATGCTTTCAATAAATTACGACTAAGTAATTATTCTGTGCTAGGATACTAGGCACTGGCAGTAAGAAAATTAACATTCTCTACTTTTTGCTGTATGTGTCCTTAAGGACCTCACACTGTAATGAGGAAAATAGAAAAAGATCGCTATGGGTGCCAGTGTGATAGTTTTGGCAAGATCAGCTACATTAAATTCCATTCCTTCCACTATAAACTAGAGCTGCTGGATAAATGATAACTTTAAAAAATTTTAGTCTCACAAGGAGGAAAAACACATTCCAAAGTGTCAAAACATAACAAGGAATTAAAAACTGGAGGGAAATTGGCAAAATGGTGTTATGAATAAGAGCTAATTATCCAGTATTTGGGAGTTTGGGTTTTAGTGACACATGAGGCAGAAGACTTGGTAGTCTGAGTCTATGTAAGTCTGACAACTGGAAATGTGACCCTATGCATAAAGCCAGGTTGTAATTTAGATGAGTTCCAGATAGTGATATTGATGAGGAGATAGATCAATCAAGTAATAGCAACCATAGGTACAGCTCCAAATATAAACAGGGAATTCATTAATGATAGAGTTAACATTAAATTCAGCAGTTAATAGCACACAATAAATAGTCCTAGAACAAATAACTGTATGAAGAAAATTCAATTTCTTTATCATACTAAAACATTTCCGATCAGTTTAGTAGAGTATACTTAATATATAATAAACTGTATACATAGGGTGGGGCAAAAATAGGTTAACAGTTGTGACTATACAAAACAGTTTATTCTTGCCCTGGCTGGTGTAGCTGAGTGGATTGAGTGCGGGCCTGCGAACCACATGATCGCGGTTCGATTCCCAGTCAGGGCACATGCCTGAGTTGCAGGCCACTTCCCAGCAGGGGACTCACAAGAGGCAACCATACATTGATATTTCTCTCCTTCCTTTCTTCTCTAAAAATAAATAAGTAAAATCTTAAAAAAGACAGTTTATTCTTGTATTATTATTTATTTATTATTGTATACTTTTCCATATGAACAATTGTAAACCTACTTTTGTTCCACCCTATATTAAAATGGGCAATTTAATAAACTTTGAAATATGTACAAAATCATAGTCAAGATAATGAACATATTGATCAAGCTCAAAGATTCCCTTATGCTCCTTGGTTATCCATTTTACACCCCAACACTCATCCCCAGGCAAGCACTGCTTTCCTTTCATTATTGAAAGGATTGTGTTTTCTAAAATGTTATATAAATGAAATAACAGAATATGTAATCTATTTATTTTATTATTTTAAATGATTTTTTCTTTTGCTTGAATCTTTTTAAAAATATATTTTATTGATTATGTATTACAGTTGCGCCACATTTTCTCCATTTGCCCCTTCCACCATTCCCTCCTTAGTTCATATTGATGGGTCATGCATATAAGTTCTTTAGCATCTCCATTTTCTACACTATTCTTTTTTTTAAGGAACACTTTTTATTACAAAAAATGTTAAGTAGACAAAATAATGTAATGAACCTTCATGTATCCATTACAAAACTTCAATAATTATCAGTTCATTACCAGTTTTGTTTCTTTTTTAAACTATTTTATTGTTGTTCAATTACAGTTGTCTGTGTTTACCCCCCAGCACTCACCCATCCCAGACCCCCGCCCGCCTTGGTTTGTCCATGTGACCTTTATATGTGTTCCTGAAAATCCTTCCCTCCTTCTTTTTATATCTATTTTCCCAAGTGGTTACATTGTTTTCAGTCTGGCTTGTTTTGAACCCTTGCCATTAATGCATGTCTTTAGAAACTTGACAAAATAATTTTTGAGTAAGTAGAGAATAAAGAATAGAGAGTACGTAAATAACTTTTAAAAAATTTAGCTACAGAGAATTTTCTCATGAGAATTGCAAAAACATCCTTGTTAATCACTTAGATTAAAATGAAGCTAGTAGAGAGACTTACCCTGGCTTTGTGTCATTTACTACACAGTGGAAGGTAAATGTCCCAAACATCTGAACTCCTAAAATTCCATAAAGAAGCAGAAAGAAAAGTAGAAAAATTGAAACACTCCATATTTGTTCTCCTGATCGCCTAGGGGGAAAAACATGTAAAATGGGTAAAACAAGCAAAAAAAAAAGTCATAAACTTTCCCCCTTAACTCATATATAAGCAGTCCTTACTTTAAAATATTTGTAATTCTGGTCCTTGGTAGTTCAAATCGAAAATAAATTCGGAATGCTCGGATCATAATCAGTGGCCTTGGGATCCGCAACATGCCCCAAGGTGACATCTGATCAACTATATCAGCAATTTCAAATACCTGTAAATTTAACAAATTTAGACATTTTGTTAGCATTGTTTGTAGACATGGCATATACAGACAGCATCAGGAGCTGCATCCTGTTCTGTGAACTTTGCCTTATATTATTTTCTACTTAAATCAATTTTCTTTTGAGTACATTTTGAAGCTTTATCTCTCTGAAGAGAGCTAAAGGTAGGTTAAATACATAAACTAATGAAAGCACCACTAATCTTGTTCATTTCTATATTCTAAGTACCAACATAGAAGAGAGAAAAAGTGTGCAAAGCCTTCTTTACTAATCACATTCTTGGGTGAAACTTTTTGAATATGTAGAAACTGACGTAATGGAGACAGGGTTAGAAATATGAAAACATGTGGAAAGGAATTATACCATTTACTGAGGCAAAGTAATAATTAGAAAATGTTAGTCAGTCATGCAAGTTATTAAATGAAAAAGGAAGAAATTACTATGCAGGATAAATTAGGCAGTTGTATAAGTGAGCTTTATAAAAATAAAGCCACCAATAAGCACTATGATAAGTATGTAGAATTAACTGTGGATTTATTTTATTATGACTATTTTCATGAAGAATATAGTAACTTTACTTGAATTAAATGCAAAATTAAGAGTGATTGAATGCATGGAATGAACTCTACCATTTTCAAACAAAATTCCTCCTCTAGACCTTTTAATAAGGGGTTCCCATTTCTCATAGTAAGGTATTTTTCCATTTGAAATATAGTATTTTTATATAGACTAGTATGTATCTCAATGTATCTATATATATTTTAGCTGTTTTTAGTGAAGATTCAGTCATATAAAAGACTAGAATTTTAGTTTTTAAATTCAATTTTTTATTCCATAAAAACTGAAATCTCACCCATATTCTTTCCTTTATTTCAATGAATATATTTCTTATATCTGCTCAATAAAAATAATTTCTTATTTTATTGACTTTCATTTCTGCTTGAGAAATAATTCACAAATGTGATTGACAATGGCTAAAATATTAGGTTTTTATTAAACATTTAAAATAACAGAATGTTGTAGAAAAGTACACAGTGATAAATTACATATTACTTAATATATCTAGTTAGATTTTCAATGGAAATTTTGGAAAATATTTTCTTGTAATTTAAAAGTTTTTAATTACCTGCAACACCAATGAAACCCAAAGGCAAAAGACCATAAATCCATCAAAAACACACCAACGATCTTTCACGTAGGAACTATCCCCCTAAAAATAAATATTACATAGCATTATCAGGCAACAGGAATAATTTCAAACAATATCTGTAGAAGAAAAGGCCAAGCATTAATAAAGTAAAAGCTAGTTTTTTATATTATAAAAAATAGACTTTCAAAAGGAACTTTTAGCAATTAAATGGCATTATACATGAGGAAAATAATTTGTAAAACACAAGTTACTGAAGAAATTTGCATATAGAATTTTAAATGTATGCAAAGGAAAAAATCATTACTTTTTCTTCACACAAATTCTACCACTTAATGAACCAAAGGCCATTCTACTCAATAGGCAGCTTTGTCTTGAACCAACTGTCTTCCTGAGGAATTAAGAGCACACAGTGATCAGTGTGAAGGCCTTTACACTTGTGGGATCAACCACCATAAGTGGGACATTAACCAGAAGTTCACCTCAAGCTAAATTAAAGGTAAAGGAGAAATGTGTCTTTATTTTCAAAGAAAACATATAATGAATTTACCTTTTATTGGGATTATATATGTAAAAGAAAAATAAAGAAGACATATTGCTTTGTTTTTTTTAATCCTCACCCGAGAACATTATTTTCATTGCTTTTAGAGAGAGAGGAACATTAATGCAAGAGAAGAATCCCAAATGCAGAAGTACTGAGGATGACTGGCATGTGTTTGGACCATGGGTCACATGTGCCCCTGCTGGGACCAGGGACTGAAGCCACAATCTAGGTATGTGCTCTACCAGAGAATCAAACCCACAACCTTTCAGTTAGAAGAAAATGCTCCAACCAACTGAGCCACACCAGCCAGGGCCTACTTTCTTTTTATGTAGTAGTGAATCTACTTTACTACTTTTGTAGTAGTGATATGCAATCTACTTAGATTGCATATTATAAAATAAACATTTTAGAAAAACTTTCGTTTAGAATAATAAAACAGAAAACCCCATGAATAGAATTGAAAACCTTAAATAGAAAAGCCTTTGCTTTCCTAGGACGACCCTATTAAGTCACAATTTCTTTAATAATCCATGAAACTCTATTCTGAATTTGGTCACATCTATCAACACTGCTCTGACTGAACCCATATTTGAGATAAAAATGGAAACATAGGACCAAGATTTTCAATAAATAGTAAAATATATTTTAGAATATTTAGGAAAATAATTTTTAGAACCTTCTATCCTTAGTAACAAATAGGTTAATCCAAGTTCCCTTGAGAAGTTTCCAGAAATATTGTTGTTTGTAAAACTAATGGTATGATTAATCACAAATGAAAGCTAACTGACCCAGATATGAAGTATAAACTCAACTTAGTGAACACTGGTTAAGCACCTACTTTATATAAGAGGATGCATAATGACTAGTGAAACATACACACATACTAATTTTATGTAGAAAAACATATTCACACAATCAGCTAATATAAAGGCAAAATAACTTATAATAAAACTAAAACATGGTGATGAGATAAGAAGATTAATTCAATGGAAATTTTAGAGAAAACAATGCCAGTTCCCAAATGAATGAACAGATAATTATTTTGGTGCCAAGAGAATCAGCCAAATGTGTTATGTATTATGAAGACACAAAACAGACATGACAGCAAAATCAGAGACTTGGGACTTGTATAATGAGCACAATAACACTATTAAATTACCTGCTATGATCATTATGTGATATTTTAAATCTGATAAAGAGAAAATCGACATCTCAGGATTTACTGGTTATGCATACACATGCACACATATTAAATACAGACAAAATAATTAAAGATTATAGTTGTCTTCAGACCTTCACAAGACATCCTTTCCCACAAGCATCATATTTGCCTTGCATATTACACAATTAACTGAAAATATAAATTAATTATAAACTGGATATAATTTTATCTGAGCCTAATTTTGATTAATATCCAAAAAATAATGGAATACAAATTAAAGTTGTGCCTTGAATATTCCCTTGGTTTGCTTAAAAAATAAAACAATTAAAAATTTTGTTTATTCTTCCATTCACTCCATATACAGAACATATCTATGAACTAGGGGGGCAGTGTTTAAGGCGGCAGTGATACCAGAGTGAACAAAACAAATACTCTTGTCCTACTGTAACTTACATTCACAGTTAACTTTTAAAAATGTGAAATACACAGTAAATGTTGATAAGTGTTACATAGAAAAATAAAAGTGTATATTTTCAAATTGACTTTTATTAAACGATACGTTCTTTACTTGTATGTTAGGCAAAAAGAGAGAGAGAAATACCATTTCATCTTTATTTTAAGAACTAGGCAGCCCTGACTGGTGTAGCTCAGTGGATTGAGTGCGGGCCTGTGAAGCAAAGGGTTCGTTTGGACTCCCAGTCAGGGCACATGCCTAGGTTGCAGGCCAGTTTCCAGTGGGGAACACATGAGAGGCAGCCACACATTGATATTTCTCTCCCTCTCTCCTTCCCTTCCCCTCTCTCTGAAAATAAAGAAATAAAATATTTAAAAAAAGAACTAGGCACAGTTGTGATTGTTTGTAAATGTTAGCTATCTATCTATAGGATAGTATCTATCCTATACCTACCTATGGAAAAGAAGTATGTGTCTCCTCCTTTTACTCTCAGTTTAGCCCCAGAGATTTCCCTGCTTCGCTTCTCCCTGCCTCCCTAATCGATCACCAATGGATTTCATGTACCCTCCTTATGTCTTCCCCTTTGGTTCTGATGTGTAAAATAAGTGGTAAAATTGTCATTTTCTGAAGCATTTTCTCAACCCCTTGAGATTTTTGTTTCCTGGCAATTGTTGCAGTTTGGCTCAAATAAACTCATAAAAATTCTTTAAAAATACAGAGCAATCAAAAAACAACAACAAAAAAACCACACAAAATTTTATGGGACTCAGCAGAAAACTGTTTTAAAATAGGAACAAATAAAAGTAAATCTTAGGAAGGAAAAATAATAATAATTATAGACCATTGTGAACACAGGTACCCAAACAAAATAAGTTTATATGGTATTTTCTTCCTCAAAGGTATTATTCCTTTATTTCTTTTTTGTCATTGAAAATGTTATATGAGTCTCACTGCAATTAACCTCTTTTATTGCTCATAATCTGCTTTAGTACTGGATTACATTTAATAAAATAGAGAGAATGGAAACTTCCATTAGATTGAGGATTATTTAAAATGTAAAAAGTGTGCCCTGGCTGGTGTGGCTCAGTGGCTTGAGCACTGGCCTGTAAATCAAAGGGTCACCAGTTTGATTGCCAGTCAGGGCACATGCCTCCGTTGCAGGCCAGGTCCCCAACAAGGGACACATGAGAGGCAACTGCACATTGATGTTTCTCTTCTTCTCTTTCTCCCTCCCTCCTCCTCTCTAAAATAAATAAATAAAATATTTTTTTAAAGCTCGACTCTTAAAAAAATAAAATAAAGTGTAAAAAGTGAGGAAAAACAGTGATATTTTCTTAGGAGGGGAATGAAAGTGGTCAAGAGAGACATAGTTTTCACAGTACATCCACATTTTTCTCTTTTGATTAATGTTCATGTGCTATATTCTTAAAAATGGATTTTCAAAATTTAATTATTTAAAAGGTACACAGTTTAGATATTGCAAAAATCATTTTGTTAGTTGGCACAAATAAAATCAAATTTGAAAAATTTGGGCCTAACAAATTCAGCATGTAAAACAATCAATGACAACATAGTTGGCTGAATTTTTGCTTCTTATTTACTATACAAATCTGTTTGCTAAGGAAATCAATGTTACAAAATGGACCTAAAGTGTATTTTGAACAATATAAAAAGATGGATTATTTTAAAACATTTTAGAAACCACGATGGCAATTCTGAATAAAACAAAAGCATGCCAGTGCCTTCTATTTTCAAATAACCTTATATTTTAAAAACTGGCTAAACAATAGTTCTGCTGCCCAACATAAGAAGAATTTTTGAGCTAGGAAGTAATTTTAATTGCTTTGTTCAGAGTGCTTTCTGCTTTAGACTTTCCAGATATTCATACTTGCATTCACCTGTAGCGAAGCCAGTAAGACCACCACATGGTGGGTAGTATGTAATGGTCAGACAGAATTGGCTTCTTTTTACTTTTCTAGTAAAATACGTGAAATAATCCACTGAGCATACATCTTGTATATTATTTGGGGGTTCATGTTCTCAAGTCATTCAATACAAAGACCAATACAACTCAGATTTTCCCCATCTTTTTAAATAACTTTTTGTTCTTTAGTGCTCATTGTTCGTCTTCCTGAAAAATTCTCCTACATCTGTGACAATTTTTTTCCTCTATACTCTGATCTGACCTCAGCCTACTATGATCAATGTTTCAATTCACACACATCATGCAACAACTGCAAACTCAGCTCATGTGTATATGTAATATACCATTATTGTGTAATTTACAGAACAGTCCTTTGTAATCCCCATTTGGTGGCTTAATTAATTTATATTTATATTTTAGGCCCTTCGGTTTATCACATGTAATCTTTTGATGTTGCATTAAAAAACAACTATATCTCATTGTCAATGTTACAATCTGTTCTGAAGATTAGTAGCACCTTGAGACTTTAAAGTAGATCATTTCAGGAGGCATTCCCACCACCTACCGCAGTGTGTGACATAAAAGCAGATATTAAATGAGTTATTAGATAACCACTTGAACCATGTCTCAGACAGGTCCTGTGGATTACAATGCATACAGTCAGAAGTCAAGTCATATGCTTTATGAAGGGATCCATTCATCTATCCAAACACTGAAATTCCTGGTATTGTTCCACAAAAGAAATGATTCTTTGACTTCTGGCAAAAAGAGAAAGATGCTCATACTACCTTTCAAGGTAGTATCTTAAAGTTAAACCTCTTTTCCTATGTAATCGTGAAATATCACATATAAAATTATGAGATAACTTTTGAACATCTCATGAGTTACTATAGTTTGAATAAACAAGGGTTACTGTCAAGCAAATAGAAATCATGTCAAGTTTTATATAATTATATGGTAATGGTAGATATGATTTGAA